GAAGATATTCTTACATATCTGAGAACCAGCGAAAAAACGCACAGTTTGGCACAGCATCCTCAAATTAGTACTAATATTACCATTATCAGTGCATAATCATTATTCAAGGAGTTATGCGATTTGCGTTATGCGAAGGAGCCTCGATCAGTACCTGCAACCCAATGAGCCGGGACGTACTGCTTGTTGTTCCTGTAGACCGAGTCCATCATTGGCTGCTCCGAAACGACGTATGGGTGAATGAAAGAGCCGGATTGCGACAGGAAGGGCATAATAATGTTTGGGGGCAAGAATACCAGTGACACTTCTTTTGGTAACGACGGCGAAATTAGCTGGCCGTTTTCGTTATATACCAGATTCATGTGACTGCTTTTTGGAGCACCGTTTGGGTAATGGCCCGCATTCGGCGGCATATCGTCAAAGTCTGCACTCGGACCATTGTGAATGGTGCTTGCTGTTTGAACGATGTTGTTGTACTCACTGAAACCCGATGGATCGTTAGCTTTTCGGAAAGGAAACAAACGTGTGCCTTCCGCATACGGCCTTTTGTAAATGACCGTGGTTGAGTCGTTATACGTCGGACACAGAGGCGTCGAGACTCCAGTGCAGCAGTAATAAAGTCCAAAACTACGGTAACAGCAGATATCAGCGGGATTAACCCCTTCTGTGTAACACAGGTTGGTAAAATGAGGGAGACACGACTTTGGGTGTCCTGTTGAATCGACCATCAGCTTTCCATCGGCTGGACAATATTGAAATTCACCGTCCTCCGCATCTGCCCTGAAAAACAGTACAATTCCTAAAATGAGTTCGTTATCGTATGACCCTTCCGACAACTGCTCAGTTGTTATACCAGAAAACATCCATCGAAAGATAAAACTCCTACGGACGATCATGGCTGATTTCTTGGAAATAAGACTGTCTGGGCCCTTCTACACGCATACAGTGAAGAATGAAAAATTTTTCGCAAGAAAAATAGTCTATGACCTTGTTTGCAAGTGATGCACTAAGTCAATGATGACTACGACATCGCGGTCACTGGGGTACGCGTTACTGCGATGAAACCCGCCCATGTTGACATTGGCCTTCTTTCAAAAGTAGCTTGAACTTCGATCGTCTGTCCTCATAACCAACGACCCATATAATTTTTGGTCCATGAATCAGCCTGTGACTTGATCGAATTTACAGAGGGCATAGATCTGATGTATTTGTAGGGAATCGCTCGACCTGGTTTACATCTGCTGATACGACTGAGCACAGTTTCCATCGACATAGATTTTGTTCCTCTTGCGGTCAATAAAGGCGTTTGCTAAATCCTGCAGTTTTTCAAAGTTATTTGGGACTTGGAATCGCTGTTGTATCCAACTCTGGGTAACCTCATTTATGACCAGGATGAAATGTTTCAGTAACTGATTGTTAAATTAATCTGGGATCAGATCATTCAAGTCATTAGTTCATATAC